CGTGTGCTCTTCCGATCCCCCCAAAACCCCAAAACCCCATGAATTATAGTTTCGCAAGTTAAAAAAGAAAAAGATATTCTTCGAAAGTTATCCAAGTTATTTAATTAAATACTTAGAATAATGGATAGGCCTCATTTAATACATTAAGTTTAATAAAATTCATTAATTAAGAGCAGTGATAATTTATAAAATGTCTGCTTCTATTGTTGCTTATAATAACAGCTCGTTATCCTTAACGAGTCAAGAAATTACTGAAATTCCTGACGAGAAAAATTTTGAGCCTAACTCTAAGAGAGTTCTTCTGAATAATCTTAGGAATCTACCATCAAATTAATCAATCTCTAAAAATATTGACAGATACGCAAATATGAGTTAAATGAATCGTAATCCACTAATAAAAAACAAAGGCAAAATAAATGATGACTGGTCTTAGGATTTAAAACCTAGCCTAAAATTTTCTAATATGATTGAAGAAGATTAAAATGATACAGTTAAGCATAATAGATATAGATCTTAAGGATCAATTAGGAAATCAATTTTTGATTTTAACAGAGGTGTGATGCTTTAGAATACTAATGCTAGTTCAACATAAGGAGTGACATCACAATTATATACAAAATAATCTGAGTAACAACTTAATACGTTTTCAAATTCCTTCAAATCAAGTAATAAGCTATTATTCTAACCAAGAAACAGCAAAGAATATACTAGTGGGGCATTTAAGTATCTTGGAAAAACAAGTTTTCTTAATAATAGTATAGGGAAAGTAGAAGAAACTTCAGAGCATCCTGGAACTATTAAAATTTAGAATATTAAAAATTCAGAGAGTAATCAATAATTGATTCAAAATTAATTCTATGATGATACTGAAAAAATCAACCTTATAATTGAGGAGGAGAAATCATATGACTCTTCAGAAGGAGATCAACTTGAATTTAAGAATCAAGTTGTAAAAGTATAGGAGGAAGAAATAAAAAACGATTCCTATCTAAAGTTTAAATAACCATTAGAGGAGTAAGAGGAAGATTACAAAAAGAAATATACTTACTAAAATTTGATAGGCTAAAATAACTTGCTATCATTGATTGAAGAAGTATCTCCAACTTCATAGATTAAAGAGGATTCTAGCTGGGATGACATTAGGATAAAATAAATAATGAAAAGAAAGGCTAATATCAAATAGTAATTAAGCCATGGTTTAAGTTTAAAAAAAGAAAATTCTGAGAAACTATATACAATTCAAAGCAAAGACGTCGAGATGGATATTTAATCTAATACTATAGTACTGTATGTGAATGGCTTGAATGATTAGCCATATATAAGCAAATAATCTTTAAGTTAAGACAAAGGAGGTGGAAGAGTACAAAGCTACAATTCAGCTTTTTTTGAAGATGATTAAGATCTTGATCAATCTAAATATAGCAATAGAATTAATTAAAGGAAGCTTTCATAGTTTAGTACTAAAAAGAAAGTAATATCAGTAATGAAAAAGTTAAAAGTATCTATGAGAAATGGTGCTCAGTCTAAAAAGAGAGTATTAAAAACACAAGCTAATGTAAGATTACATAATAATATTTAATAATATCTTTGATCATTTAATACTTTAATCTATTTGAAAATGCACAGGTATTTTGGGGTTTTGGGGTTTTGGGGTTTTGGGG